ACACACACACACACACACACACACACACACACACACACAGAGGTCAGATTGTACGATACAGTTGGCAAGTCAAAAATATGATTTCTAAGAGGGTCACTTCTTGATTTAACCTCCTTCTATTCTTAAACTGACCTTGTTCCAGGCTACATCCTGTGCTCAGTTAGACGCCCTCACTGACATGATTCATGCTAAACTGGCATTACTGTGTACTCTACCTTCAATAAATAAACAGTACAATTCTCACTAAAGTTATGTTTTTATAACGTGATGAATTTTTTTAAGAACTACACAAAATGTGACCGCAACCATGAGGACAAGTCGAAACCCTGAGAGGCAAGTGTGAAATTCGTTGTTTTTCATTTTTCCCCATTTGTGAAAAAAAGCTAAAAAACAAACAAAACATAACAAAAACATAAAATTAAAAAAGTGGACAAACGATCAGCAGAAAAATAAATCTCTCTTGCCTTTCAGGGCTTCAGTACAAGTCAGACAGGAAGAGGTAAAGAGAGAGAAAACTTACCACCATCTTTCCTCTGAAGAGCTTGGGGATGGTTCCCTCGACACAAGTGCCTTTCATTTTATTCTCCACATTGTCCAGGAGCTGCAACACACACACACACACACACACACACACACACACACACTTAGTAAGTCAGTCATTATTCAGCATGTATACACATTCACATTCTGTAAGAGAGGATGAGAGAACTCACCACTCTGCACAGCTCCTGTACATCGTGTTGCATGAAGCTATCTAGTGTTTCCCATCTTCACAGAGGAAAAAGAAAACAAAGCAAAGCAGTTAGATACAATCCTCACTGAGCAGGAGCTACAAAGGCTGGTAACCACTTAAAATTCTACTAAAAATAATATTCAACAGTCTTAAAGTTACAAAAAATCGTCTGGTCCCAGCATTACAAGCGTGCACTGACTCGTCAAAACCAAATCGTGGAACATCAGGCAATATCCTGAATCGAATAGAAACAGTACTGTGGCAGACTTTGTGATATTAGCAAATATCATACCATTGTCTAAAGAATCAATATTGTATTGTGAAGAAACTTGTGATTTACACCCCTAATAAATACTTGCTTTACTTCCCATTCTCGCCTCCGGCTGAGTCAGACAAAAGAAAGGTGAGCTGTCAATTAAGAAAGTCTACACTACCCGAAGGACTTGGTGAGTTTCTTGGTGCCAACAGGTTTGTCACTGTGTTGCAGCTCGTAGAAAACCCTCTGCAGTGCCAGGGGAACGCTCTTGGACGAGTCGTCTCCCTCTGTGGGCATCATGTACACCGCCTGGGGAGAGAGTCACACCAGGATTAGTTTTAGACAGTGATACTGTCAGATGGAGGTTACAGATTCTCACTGTTTGTGAAGAATTTCACAACATTTAAAAACTTTATTTTCATGACAAGTCACTTTAGAGCTCCTGCTGAATAAAGCTATGAAAAAAGACTATGGTGAATTAACGGAGCAGTGTGTGGGATTTCAAGGGGATAAATTGGCAGAAATCAGATATAATATTCACAACTATGAATCGTTGCGTCTTCCAGTCCTTCATAGCTACATGGAGAGTGGGTACTCTACCATGGAGTCTGCCATGCTGCACCCCCGTCTTTCTACAGTAACCCTGAACAGACAGCCAAACATTTGCTCTAGAGTGGGCCTTTCATGTTTTTACATTACCTGATGGCCACCGTAGGTTCTCTGACACACTTGGAAAAGGAAGGGTGCTCGAGCAGAGAGGTATTTACTTAGTTGTCTGTTGTCTGCAACCTCATTGCTAGATACAACTAAATCCTACACATTGCTCCTTTAAAGGGTCTCAGTGAAACTATATGATAGTGGTGCAATGATATCAGTGCAACAAGAAGAATCAGCAGCAGCTGTAGAGTGACATTAACAAGTACTCATACTAATGGGAAAAGCCACAACACACAGGGGAGAATTTTACACCATACGTGCAAGTTGTGAATGTCAGTGTACAAAGTAGCATGAGTCAGATTTATCAAATGACACGAGTAAGGAGAGTTGACTGACAAGACGATGCCAGAGGATTTGATGTCAAGTTGAAAAGCACATGCACCTGTTTAGCAGTATTTCAGATTTTAACCCAATGCTTACTGGGAACTAGATAATCTTAATGAGGGAAAAGAGGTTGCTTAGATCACTATGAAGCTGGAAGTGTGCAGTTCTTCATCTTGCAGCTCACTGTGACTGCCCATTCTTGTTCTATTACTCCCTGCAATATCGCTGTCAACAAATGCCGAAAAAGACAGCTGTCTTGTTTTGCAAATGCATTTTTGATGAACAACAGCAGTAGTGCTAATCTCACTGACAAACACACTGTATTTCCTAAGTCAACTTGTGTTTCACCAGTTGCATGTTTTTAATGTGAAGCGGAAGCAGCAGGGAATGTTTGGTTTACATCAGCAGTAACTTATTATATCGCTCTATGGTGAGCATCAGCGACCAACATCAAACATTTGGTTTAAGTGGTAACACTGATGTTGTCATGAGTTTATTAACTGGTGGAAAAATGTCTTCACTGTGGCTACTTCTGTTATGTCACGTCAACAAACCACATCCCTAACAGCTGTGCTCTTGAGATCAGACTGGAGACGTAACCACTTAAAAGATGGGCAAGCACTTGCTATCTTCCAATGTTTGTACTTTTAGAACAGAAAACACATGTTTTATATGATGATAATCACCAAAATGACACACAATTTAGCCAACAGCAAGTAGGTTGTTCTAAGCGATGGTCATTTACCAGAAACTTTCAGCTCCCTAATGATCTCCCACTGGGCATCTGCCACCTAATTTTGTTTTTGTTGTGAAATAAGGAGGTATCATATAGATAACTCCTCATTTTAACTTCAAGAATCATATGTTCCCCGTCCATTCTGGAGCTTTCGAAGCAAAATTCTGTTAGGAAACAATGTCTAAGGGAAATTATTTCCACTGTATATTATTACTGGAGAGACTTAACAGATTTTCCTGTTTTTTTACTGGACAAGAAAAAACGCTGCTATATTTGAGGATGGCCTTCAACATTTGTGACACATGTCAACATGTGGACAAAAGGTATAAACACACATGAACATTCAACTGAAGCGCTAGTCCATATTTACACATGTAATACACATCATTTATCTGCTCAGCTAAAGCCACTGCATTAAAATGTTAAACACACTGCACCTCATACAAAGACACACAAAGAGATAAAACCATACCCTTCGTAGCTGGTTGGTGAAGAAGAGTGTCTGTAGCAGGCTATTCATGTAGCACGTAGCTCCTTGGTTCTTTAGTCCAACGTAGCCTGTGTGTTTCTTAGAGTCCCATCTGGTAACAGAGAGAAAGGAGATGTTACTGTTAGAATTCATAAACCCCAAACACGAAAAATAAAACTGTAGAAAACCCAAGCCAGAACAAAAAGACCCCAGAGAAAAAACAAGGGGCTACGTACGCCACTCCATGTGGGGCATCTGCCTGGACGTAGACTTCAAATGTGACTTTGTCGTCATCAATGAAGCCCCTCTCTGGATCAGTCACATCCTGTAACACACCACCAAACAGTTCATATCAACAGGAATGGGTAGAGGTAAAAGCATTTACTGATATTTTTACCTTTATTTATGATTAAGAGATCCAAAAAGACAATGAGCAAATAGCGCTATGGTACATAAAAATTAAAAAGCTCTCAAACGGAAAAGCCAATTATTCTTTGGTGGCTCTTGTCCCATCTGAAAAATGGATCTGGCAATTAAAATAAAGCTACCATCGATAGCTCTGTCAGTGTGTGTACTTACACTCCAGGACATGAAGTTGGAGAAGCCCCAATCATTCTCTTTGTGGAAAAACAGGTGACTGATCCTGCGGCTGAAAGACTTCTCATCGTCTTTGTAGTTGATGATCTTGAGCATGGCCTGCGCGTGGCACGACCATGACCTGGAATAACAGAATCAAGAAATCTTTATTAAACCACTTGCTCATGAACAACCATACTTAATTGAAAAAGCAAATTCCAGCAAATCCCATAATGTGAGTTTTTGATACAGATCTGGATCTAGCTGGAGATTTAACACATTCTGTTGTTAAGGAATTCAGCAGGCATGGATGAGGAATGAGCCGTCTGACTGAGCGTTATCTAGTTTAGATTCTGTTGCCATTCATTAGAGATTATAAACCTGATCTTGTGTTTCACATAAAATGTAATTAATGTGAGGCCAGCTCAAATAAATTCACAGCCAGTAGGTTTTGGACACCGTTCAACAATGCATAAAGCAGCTGATACATTTTTAAACAATGGCGCTTTGATATTGCTAAAACAAAAGACCATGTTAGTGAACTGTGACCTTGATTTATTGCATCTAGTATGTCGCAAAACAAACAACAAGCTGACACAGTAACCAATACTGTGATCAAAAAGCAAAGACAAGGTCATGGGTCCCCAACAGCTAATATCTATTACTTTCTTGTATTTTGCTGGTGGCTTTAAAGAATACCTTCTGACTCAAAAGAGAGGTATACAGTGTACCAGAAGATGAGGTCATTATGATTGTTGTCTGCAATGAAATCAAAGTGAGCTGAAGTCTAAAAAAAAGGAAAAACATCCAAAAAGACAATGTTTCTACAAATTGAATTCAAAGTAAATTCCAAATACAAAATAAACCACCTGCACAAGTATTCATCTTATCTACATAAACACACCGCCATCAAAGCAGCCAAACATTTTTGGAAACTGCATTCTTATTTAGTTGGAGATCATCTGTGTGTAATCAAGCTTTGACATCTGGAAGGTCTAACAACTTTCAGTTTCCTGGCCAAAAGCCATCATAAAGACAAAAGCCTGCCCCAAATACACCCAGACAAGGTTACTGAAAAAGTGCCAATTAGAGGACAGAAAGATATCCCTAAAAAGAAAGGATATGTCAAAGCTGTGAACTTCTGAAGAGCTGGCCGCCCTCCTTGTCAAGTGTCTGTGTGTAACAAACACTAGTGAGGGAAGATGCCAAGAGGCTTATGTCAATTTTGAAGGAGCTGCGGGGTCACATGGCTAAGAAAACTGTTACACTGGTGCTTCACTAGTTGCAGCAAAGAGAAAGAAACTGTTGAAAAACCTATTATGATATCTGGGCTATTGTTTGCATGAAGGCATGTGGGAGGGTATGTCAATTTGGAAGAAGGTTTGATGGTCTGATGAGACCAACGTTGGGCTTTCTACTACGTTTGAAATGATCCGAAGGTCACACAGAAACAACACATGCCAACTATGAAGCATGGTGGCAGTATCATGCTGTGGGGATGCTTAAAGGGACAGTTCGTCCCAAAATCAAAAACATATTTTGTCCTCTTACTTTTAGTGCTAGGGAAGGTAGCAATTTATACTTGCGCTATTATGTCAATGTTTAATTGCAGTGTATGTCCTCAGCTAATAGTGTCTAATGTTCAAACTGACTGTGTACAGAAAGTGGCATTAAAGGAGCATGAGAAACCTTTGAAAACGATGACGTAGACACCCACGTTTGCATGCTGATTAGATCTTATCTGTCACAACAACACAACATTCTAGCTAGGTCTGCATACTTTATGATTTTATCCTTCTTTCCTATCACCATGGCCGCCTCTGACAATGGATATTTTCAGTAAAAAGTTCCATCTTGTCAAGCTTAAGCAAGGAAATTTCTGGTCTTACTTTTCGCCATCTTTGTCATATTTTCTGTAAAGAAGCAACCATCTGCAGAGTGGACAGTCATTTGCATGCCCAGTGTACATCAACAGTCAGGTGTTTTCAGGTGGTTAGTATAGACAGAGATTATTTCTAAAATGGTGCTTAAATGTTTTTGTGTACAGAGATTAGTAGTATTTGTGTGGATGTGGCCTGTGTGTCTCTGCAGTGTCCCCTAAATCCCTCGTCCCACCAGGACACTTACGTGGAGTCTGATTCTGCGTTACACTGCAGGAAGAAGCCCACGCTCTTCTGGTGTGGTCGGTCTGGATAGAAGCGCGGCATCACCATTATCTTCCATGGAAGGTTTCGGACAAAGCAGGACGGGCTGAGCACAGACTCACTCAGGCGGCTGAAGCGTTCTACAACGAAGCGGAAAGTCGCCTCTGACCGCCAACTGGTGTCTTTGGAAAGATGGAGGGACACAGTAAGAAAGCAGGGGGGGCAGGTTAGATTGTGAACAGTGAACAATTTTCCTCCAGCTCTCACTGACAAGCCCAGGTGCAACTGGAGACTAACGACTTCACAGCCAATTAAGTTGAGTAATTCACAGGATGATGTTAAACCTGGATTATGACAATTACTTTCACAGCACAAGCTTCCAAACAAGCAAATAAGCCAAGTGTTTGTTACAGTGTAAGAGAACATCATCCTCACCATCCTCCATGTCCTCCTCTGTGTTGTTGTGTCCATCTGCCATGGCCACGTTACCATTGATCACCGGGTTGGCCGGGATTCTTGGAGGGTCGTCTGTGTCCCCAGCTGTACAAAGAGAGAAACAATGTGATAAGTCTGAAGGGTTCTAACTTATATATTAAGGTAAAGACAAATTCTTCAGTTTTGCCAACTATATGACTTCAGGTCAGCAACGAGGGGTTACAAAATGTCAAACTATCATATCAAAATCAATACAATATGCCATCGAGCCATAAAAAAAGCCACACAAAAGGCTTCCTATCACATTTGTGTTCATTTTCTTCCATGTTTACAAGTCATAATTGAGCAAAAGTAATTACCATTTAAAACTAAAAGTTGTAACTACAACAGACAATCTGCTAGATTATGTTCTCATAAAGCTTGTTTTGCCAGGATTCTGTGAATATATGCACGCTTTAAAGAGCAGGACAGATTTATAATCTCATAATCAGCGCAAAGCACAAAAACAGCATCAACTAAGATCAGACTTTTTTGTATCAAAAAGCAAAAAAGCAATTCCGCAACTACTATTTTCATCTTTATCTCTGGCATCTCCACACACGGTGATCCTTCCTCTCCCCTCTCATACTTTCACTGGGAAAACCCTGCTGAGACAGCATGACAAGTCTTCTTTCCCAGTCTGTGTGTCAGCGAGAGGGCAACGCAGACAGAATGTGTGTGTGTGTGTGTGTGTGTGTGTGTGTGTGTGTGTGTGCGCGCGCGCGCGACAAAGACCATGCGACATTACAGTAGGCCGGGTAATTATGGACACAATGCAGGATTAGGCTGCAAGTCATCGCTCAAACAAAAACACACGCGCGCAGGGGACAACAATTATCCCAGCCGAATAATGAGGCGGCTCGATGCACGGTCTCGTCTATCAAAACACTGTGGAACAGAGGAGCTTTGCGTGGACTTCAAGGAAGTGAGTGAAATCTGTCTGGATCCTGTGATGATGACAATGACGCAACAGAAGCCAGACTTGAGAGTAACGACAGCACTGATATGAGCACTCAGGCATATGTCTCCAAATGTGTTGATGTGTCAGTCTGTCTCTTACACTGTATTTCATACGGATCTCTGATCCTTGTCTTCCCCCGTGCTGACAGACGCAATGGTGTCAGTGGTGTGTGTGTATCTCCAGGTAACGTTACTGACCGAGTCCTACAGGAGGCTGACCTCCTTTCCTCAAGTGGATTACGCCCTGCTAATGGGGTCTGTCAGTCAACTCCATGACAACTTCTTGTCCCGCCTACTCCGTCAGTCTATCCTGAAACCTCTGAGAAGTACATCCTAATGGATCACTGAAATCTGCACGAGCTGGAGCTGGATGGAGTGCCAATAATTTCATATTGGAGAAAAATGCCTGAAGGTTTAATGTAGAACTTCCTGTCACTCAAACTACGAAGGTGTCTGGAAGAGGAATATCACAAGCATTTCAACACAGGATATTTTTACAGGAAGCATCAGAGTAATTGATCTGAATACCCGCTATTGTTGCACTACAACAGTAACAGTAAACATAAAGTATAAACACATCTCTTTATCTCATATTCTAATCTTTCCTATGATTTAAAGTCCATCGCCTGTAGGGGGAAAGCAGCAAATAAAAGTCCTCATCATCATCAAGACGAATTTTCTCCCATGAGACAACTGTATGCTGGGCAAAGAGAAAAACAACTCCAGATGTGTTTAACCTAGAGCAACAAGGTTATAACAACACAGCTGATACTGTTACACTGACTTGGCACTAAGATGCTGAAATGCTGTTTGATGCATCAGACATCAATTGTGTTTCTCTACAGTACAAAAAACCCCTAAGACAAATAATATAACTGGAATTATACCTTTTATGATTTCAATAGCATCTTAGTCGTTAATCGTGTCCTATTAGACAACTTGGGTTTCATGAGATATCCCTTGACAAATAACATACTGTTTGTTTTCAATTCATTTCTGACATGTTTGAGGAGCTGCTACAGGCATAACCACTAGATTGATTGCGTGGTAGCAACAGCCTGGCATATTTTGCTGTGGAAAACAGATAAAATGACTTAGATATGCAGAGCAGATGATGGACTAACCCCACTGCAAGTGTACAGACCCTCACGCCATGAAGCAAATTTGGTATCTGTTGCTATGAGCAGTCAGACAAAAAAGCAGTTTATTGTGTCAACTTGTTTTCAATGTCCTTGTAAGGCTGCAGTGCACTGGGAGGGAATCCAAGAAGGGTGAACCAGCAACTAAGGGGTAAGGAAGTCTGGTGAGTGCACCTGCTAGTAGTACCACAAGTATAAAAACGGACGATTAAAAAATATAAATGACACCTGGGGCTGTTTCTAATTGCTCTTTTGTGTAATTAAATAAGATATGCTGTATATTGTGTGAAGCCGGATAATAAGCAGAAATGTGTGTGTGAGCAAATAATAAAATCCCTGGGAGTAAATGACGCAGTGATGCTGAAGGCTCCCTCAAAGCCTCCACTCTGCCCAAAGTTGACATTAATAAAAACTTTATAAAACACTAGGGCAGATGTTCAGTGTGTGAATCGCTTGCTAAACGCTAACATAGGTGGCCCTGACTACAAAGCTGACTAACAAAAACACAGATCATTAAAAATGGCGAGCTCCATGCCGTTTGGTCGTCCATACAATGAAGCAGCAAATCCCCGCGCTGCCTCTGTGCGGGCCTGGCTTACCGCAGCGGCGACTACCGTTACTTGCCAACACTGCTGTTTGACATAACACTGCCAAACGTCAACATATAAACTAGCAAACAACTAATCCAAAGCTTGATTTACATTCAGTCTGACACATTGTCGTCTGCTCTGGCAGCATGACTAAACTTGTTACAGCACACAATTTAGCAAATCACGATTGACGCATCTGCGTTAGCAACCTAGCTATGTAGCAACACTAGCCGCACACATATTCATCTGCAGGCCGTTATTAGCCAACATTAGCTGGCATCACAAGTACAAGCTAACACGCTTAAATTAATGCTAAACAAAAAAATACCACCCAGAGTTGGTACATTATACCGCTAAACAGCAATTAGGGCAAAGGGGGGAAACAATCTACATTGCGTGAAGCTAATATTCAAGGCCTAACATTCAGGCAGTAGCTGAATCGAACGTTGCAAAATACAAGCCACCATTTTGGAACGCCACACACCCCCTCCGTGAGTGTTAGCCGACCAGCTAACTAGCATGCTAGCCGCCGAATGAACGCAAAGAAGCGGGCCCCGGGGCTAATTGGCTAGCTTAAAATTAGCTGTCTCGTTAGCAATGTACACTGCGTTTTACCAGCTAAATGAGGACACACAGCAATAAAACAGACACCCGGCACTCTCTGTATTGAAAGTATTTACTACACATATTGAGGGGTCAAATGTGCCGATTTCGCATTTTAGGTGTCAAACTGACAAACTGTACCTTGTTGTTAACCGACATCGTTACTTTGCAGGCCCGTATTTAATGTACAAACCATCAAGACACGATGCTAACACACTATCTTTCCGAAAGGCTGGCGTAACGTTAAATGTCGAGCTGTTATTAAAGGGCGATATTTTTGTGCTATCAGACACAAACGGTTACTTTGTTTACGAAATAGCTAACTTTGACGAGAAACGCGGGCGCCGATAACTGTCAAAATCAACCTAAAGCCCACTGTGAAGTCAAAGCACCATAGCAAGATTAATTTACCTAGCGATGGCTCCATGTTAATTGCAGACTAACAGCCACACTGTTTACAAACATTAAACGTTAGGTTATCAACAATTAGCGGGCCTGGATTTCTATGACTGCATGTTGATTTTAAACTGCGATGATCTGGCAAACTGCATCTGAGAAGTTGTTCCAGCAAACGGCCGTTAACAAAAACTTAACGGTTTATTTGCAAATAAGTGACCGAAACGAATGAATGATTTCCGTGGCTAATGTCTGACAGAGGTTGAACGGCTCATTTGGGTTATTTACAAGCAATCGACTACTGCAAGCATACCGAGAGAAATTCAAGCTCCGTTCGCTTATAACACAAAATGAGGTCAGCTCCACACAAGTATGCTGCAACGGACGCACAATCAGCAAAAATGCAGCCGGCTATCCTAGCTAGCTTCGGGCCTTCGTGTTTACTGTAAAGTTGAGCTCCGCTTGCACAAATGAAACTCCATGCATTTCACGTGCAGCAGTTAAATCGTGACAAAATAGGCTGTAAAGTGTCCCTTCACCCTTCTTGGCACCATTACATACCTTCCATCTCCATGTCCTCTGGTTCGCTGAGCTGCTGCTCGCCGGCTTTCTGTTGCTGCTGCTGCTGCGTGTGGTGATGGTGGTGGTTCATGTTGGCAGCTGTTGTTGTTGTGGTTGTGATGCGGTGCTCCCTGTTATCTCTGTTAGCCTCGACCTTGTCCAGGGTCGGCTCGGCGGGGAACCGGGTTCTGGACTGCTGGTGAGGTGTGGTAGGATGCGGAGGTGGGGTGGACAGGTCGAGCCTCGGCGGCCGGGCCTGCTCTGTTGCGACCTCGGCCTTGTCCGCTGTCAGCGCCGGGGAGTGAGGAGGGGAGGTCGGCGGGGGAGCGGGTACAGAAACGCGGACGTATTTGCTCGCTATTCGCCCAATCTCGGCGCCTTTGGTGGGTGCGAGTCGCTGGCTGACGGCGGGGGGTGGGATGGATGGACCGGGGCTCCGAGGAGGGAGGCCCGCTGAAATTAGCTAAATCAATCCGGCTTTACCCCGGGAAATGTGGGGCAATAAGACAACGCACAGCACGACCTGTATGTTGGGGAACAAATACCCTGTTTATAGCTAGCGTTAAGCTACCTGACACTAGGCAGCCAACTGCTGATATAGGTACAACAACAATGAAAACAACGGTTCATTTGCTATAGACACACATTCAACAACTTTGCCTGCGATATCCCCAGTCCGTGTGCTCCTCCGATTGTCCCTCGTCTGGGGAAGAGCGGAGGAAAAACCTATCCATTCAAACCAGTTTCCAATACGGAATAGCACTGATGTTAATTTGGAAGTTCGCGGAGATGAGAGTTGCCACGGCCCGACATAAAACAATTCCCCCAAACCGCCCTAACACGATAAACGACAAAACGCGGCACCTGGTTGCATTTCGAGCTAACCTCCTGTTTGTGGTGAGGAATGTGCCCGGTCATACAATGTTAGCCTGAGCTGTGTGGCTCTCAACCCGCTCCTCCCGTGGTTTGTGATGTGTGTTGAGTCTGAGGTAAATCTCAAAATGGCGGTCGCGCTTTTCTCTCTGAAATGTCACATCCGCATGGAGATCCAAACACTGGCCCATCCCCGGCCAGGTTCACATCCATGTTAAATGATAGGGATCAGGCGTGTGCATCGGGTACAGGGGAATATATTAAAGTACGTACAAAAATTATTAGATTAATGGAGATTATAAGAATGATAATACGGGCCTAGGCATACTGGTGACTGCATGTTGCACTGAGGGCCCAATCAGTGATTTACAATGACTTGAACAGGGGGGAAATCGTTGTCTGGTGTGGTACTGAAATGCATGCACTGAAATGCAAATCCAAAAGTTTGAAATCACCTGTTATATTGAAGTTTTTCTTCTTTATTTTATTAATGGCTATTTTAACACATATGAAACAGCACATTTTAGGCAACAAATGAAATATGTTCATCTTATATTCTCTGATCCAGTTCCAGTGGCGCTAACGCTACCTTCTATGTATTGTTTGTTGTGGAGTTTGAAGAACAGCATATTATCACCCATTAAATAAAATAATAAAAAACACATTTTATCCATTAACAGGAGACAGGGGCCCCTTTTCAAATGGGGGTGCATTTTACTGAAGGGTCATGCTACAAACATGAATGCAGGATTTTTTTTATTTAATTTAATTTCACTTAATTTTATTTTAATTTCATTTTTTACTCCAACGTACTTTACAACTTTACATTATGGAACAGCATTTCATAGGATACTTTCCACTATACTGTCTTAGGTGACCTGCACTCTGTTGATGGGGGCCCATTGCTGCTTTGTGGCATTTAGTCTAGTTTTCATTTTATGTAATTTACTCAATTTACTCACTTATTTACACATGTATTTAATTTATCTTGTTGATGATGTGATGCAGCATGATCTTGTGATGTCCTTCAAGATTTCAGGGGGCTGCTAACAGGTGTTTTCCCACTTTTGCTGCAAGTACTGTATTATTCAAGGCTCAATTAAAGTAGGGTAAGTTGCCAAAATTAGGTTCTAATTTAGATTATCCAAAATAAGTTTATCCATCCACCAAAAATAGCCTGCAACCTTCCTCGGATGAGACCATTTTTCACTTATTTCGTAGAGGGATGTTTGCCAAAATCAGGTAATAAATCATTTATTTATTCAAAATAAATAGCCAATACATATACATACAAAAACAAATACATAAATTGATAAATTTTAAAAGTGCAACAGTGCAAGCCTCCATGCATAATTGTGACTCAGCTCAGCCATAGTAGTGGAATTAAAGATTAATTAAAGAGAGAGAGAGAGAGAGAGAGAGAGAGAGAGAGAGAAATATGACAGTACAAATAAAAATGTCACTTTACTCACTGGTGAAACTTACCAACTTGTATATCATTGAATATAACCATTGTGAGGGACAATCTACGTCCAGTCATTAATTATCTTTTTACTTAGACACTGTTCAATATGTTATTGACACTTGTACTGGTCCATATCTGCAGTGTTGACACCAGACTGTGCGTGTCTGTGTTAGACAAACCTTCAGATCTGAGTAAATGGCACCCTGCAGTGGATAAAGAGAGAACTACACCAGGACTCAGTCTGAGATAGCGTCGCAGTTGTTTTTTTTTTTTTGTTTTTTTAAAATGACTGTCTCACTTTCGTCTATCTCGTTTCATTTTATGTTATGGTTAGTGCTCATTATTAAAGTATTTTTTATTAAACATCAAAAATAAATACATCAAATATTATGGATAAATCATCATGAGAGAGTCATATGTGGATTTATTGGGTGTTCATAATTATCAGCTAATATTAGAGGTTGTTGCTGTGGAAATATAGAAGTTATGATATGATATATATGTTATATGATATAATAAATGAAGTCATTTTCTTGCCTATAGGTTCTGAATTAAAACGAGGGGCGATGAATAAATTCACAGAAAATTATATTGATGATAACCTTTATTTAAAAGGTATCTTCTAAAACATATTATATTATATTATATTATATTATATTATATTATATTATATTATATTATATTTGCGCTGTTTTCACGACAAATCTTGCGCTCTCTCGCAAGCTTTAGTAAATGGGGATTTTTTTCGGTGGTTCTTTTGTGTCAATGCTGTGACGGACGTGTCCAAGAGCCAATGACATTCTGAGAAAGGCTCTCGAGCCCACCCTGCAGTGCTCATGTTGCCAATCATAGCTGACATCTGGTAAAATGGGCGGGGTCAAGCGCATAACAGGGTAGTCTGCTTGTATATATTTCGACGTCGGCTACCAGGAAAAATAGTTGGCTAAGCTTATCTTCACAGATGGCAGTTAGGATAGGGAACTGCGTTGTATTGTAGTGCGAAATATTAAAACGCTAACAGTATTCATGAATTTATTAACATAATTCTTCATACGGGGTCCGTATATTCATTTTTTAACACATAAAGCCGCGTTTTACTCGAGTTTAGGTGCATTAAATGGAGGAAAAGAAGGAAGACGGAGACTCGGAGATACAGGAACACGGACCCGAGCACTGGTTCTCAAAATGGGAGCGGCAGTGCTTGGCCGAAGCGGAGCAAAGGGAGCCGAGCGAGGAGGAGGCCGACAACGATCAAGAAAAACTGTGGCATCTCTTCCAGAACTCCGCCACTGCTGTGGCACAGTTATACAAAGGTTTAAATCAGCGCTGTCTTTTTGACTGTTCGTCTAACTATAGTTAACGCTACATTGCTAGTACGCTTCTGGCTTGTTGGTTAGCACACTGGCTACTTACCGGGCGTTACAGTGAACTAACGGTAGCGTCACTGTCGGCAGAATGCTAAGTAGCTCGTTAGCAAACTCAGTGGCCAGTACTGGGTAACGTTTACAGCTGATTTTGCAATGCTAAATTTAGCTAGCTGTGTTAGCCAGCGAAAAAAAATAGTTATGAACTCGAATCCGACGTTTTACACTTTGTTTTATTGTTAAACAAACATATCTATTGGGACTGGCATAATTTAAGCTGCTAAAGTTAATATGAAAACCTTTGTCAATAAGACTGCTTGTTGACACCAAGTTAGACAGCAGCTGATAGCTAACGTAACGATAGCCAGGCTAGTTACAAAATGGCGATGGTAACAACAACCGTAGCTACGCGACATTCCCAGATGACAGTCTCTTGTATACTGTCAGTGTTACCATCTGTTACACCGGGCGCGATTAGCTGTTGAAATGTGATTTAAAGATATAAAGTTAACGCCACATAATATACTCTAGTCCCAAAACGCCCGGTTTGCCGCTGAGTAGGCAGTTTGTTTAGCAACGCGCAAGTTAAGCTAGCGTTATAATCACAAAATGGCGAGGATAGTATTGGTTCGCTGTGGAAATATTGGTTTGTCTACAGTATGCTGCGACTGTGGTGCTTTCAGACGCATTACATTCCGGTCCTTGTTGACAGAGCTCGACTTGTTAAGTCTATCCGTGTTTGACATGCATGTTTGACATGGCTCTGCAACTTTACTGCTGAGAGGGCAGTAAGTTTGTGTGTCGGTGCTTTCTTGCTAAACAAGCTGCTGCCAAGCTGGCCATCTAGCGCTGGCTGACAGTTATTTTTATGCCAAACCCTGTCCCTGCAATTGTAGATGTAAGACAAAATGGCGAATGAAAATGATCTTCACGTCAACCCTGTCATCACCAAGCTGTAGTGGCTATCAGATGTTCTGTTGTCCTTTGGTCACATTAGTCAAGATTGCTTTGCTTTGAAATTATGGCAGCATTTAATGTATAGAAACCAAACATATTTCTCCTGTGTTCCCACAGACAGAGTATGCCATCAGCAGGGCCTGTCATTGTGGGTGCCATTTCAGAACTCTGCAACAGCCCTTACCAACCTCTACAAAGGTATCAAACCACATCACTCCTTTCTCCATCCTTGTGCCTCTGAGCAAGATTTATTGCTGCCAACTACTACACCTACTGTTGTTTTTGTGCTTCCTTACACCAAACAGGCTGTCATTGTACTTGTAAATACTGACATGTTTTTAGGCTCCTCTGACAGGATGTAAACACTCTTATCAGCTCCATATTGATCAGTCTGTGACAGGGCTTGTAGGTTATTGTATGGCAGTGAAAGGCATGTTCACTGAAGGGTTAAAACACTGCATTTAAAAGTCTATAACAATGTCAGGAATTCACTGGTGAAACAGAGATATTTTGTTGTCAGTTGTAAGAATGAGATTGTACTGGACTTGACTCCTAATTTGGTGGACTTATTCCTCAAAACTTGGCAAAGGATTCCCAGGTAGAGTTGTACTAGCGAGTTGTTAATTTGCTGCTGATTTAAAAACTGCCAGTCATGTTTTTTTTATGTTGTCACAAAAACAAACAGAGCTAAAAGTATGTACGTTATAATCCATGATACTAAGATTTCCTAATGGTTTCTGGCTTTGGACTAAAACATTGTCACTGTTACCATACATGTTTGCGCTGCTTTGGAATACATGATAATGAACAATGATTATTTTCATGATGCCTTTCACCATCGCAGAGAGTGCTGAAGCCCATCAGAGAAGCTTTGATCGGGGCATCCAGATAGGCCACCAGCGCCGTAATAGGGTGGGTCTTGTTCCTCTGTTACCTTTGTTAAGCACCTCCATTCTCTTGTATCTGAACAAAATGTGATATAACACCTCCCTACATTAGGGAGCACAGGAGTGCTGAAAGGGGGGAAAATGCATTAGTGTTTGTTAATGAAATTAAACCTTGCTTAACTAATGGATGTATCACTCCTGTATTGAATTGCAGGACATGTTGGCCTGGGTGAAAAAGCGCCGGAGAACCATCCGCAGGGAGGATCTTATCAGCTTTCTATGTGGCAAAGCACCACCACACAGGAGTAGCAGGGCTAACCCTCGGCTGACTATGGTGGCCCCCAGCCGGGCTAATTCACCAGCGGAGACTGGCTCATCTGTGGAAGCAGACCTCCAGCCCTTCAGGGAGGCCATAGCACTGCATGGTGAGTTAAGTGTGAGCATGGCACACAGCTTACACACCAGTAGTCATTCTAGCCACCAAATCAGAGGCATGGTTTACAACCCATGAGGCAGCCACATTGTTGGATAGAAAATCAGTGTTACTGCTGTTCTATAAGGCTATTTAAGGTTTGGCAATGTGTTATAGAGTGTTTGTGTGAAAATGTCTTTCATACATACCAGCTGGCTCATTTATCATCACCTGAAGCAGAACTATAAAATGTTAAAATAAGTCTAAACACTGAGGTGCAGCATGTTTTTTATGTGTGCGAGAGAGTGTTTTAGCACATGCTTGTCCCTCAGTAATCGTACTCTGCCACATATGGCGCAGAGATAAGGGTATGTTACGCACGGGTGTGTAAGTATTGGCCAATGGTGAAAGAGGGCCTCACGTTCTCAGCCCCTCGTGTGTGTGTTTGTGAGAGGGAACGTCCCACTTAAGCACAAGCGAAAGCAGTCCGCTAATAATGACCCTGGTTTTAAATATGCAGACGCTGCTGTTTGTTTGTAATGCAGTTTCTTTACTGTATGTTGGTATTTCTGCTGTACTGTCGGTGCACACGAGTGCTGAGAACATTATCTAAATGTCCCCACATTTTAAATGGCTGCTGAGGTTAGCATGGATGATGTTAGGCATTTGGTGGTTTAGGTTACAGAAACACAAGTTCAGTCTGTGTCAGGGGGTTTCAGTTATCAGATACCTTTTGCATTTCACAACCAGTGTCTGTGTGTTGGGGCAGACAAAATCATTTTGATTTTACATGGACAAATTGCATTTCACATTTCTGTCCAGTGCCAACTCTTAACAATCAAATTCACAGAATGTTTGTTCAGTGTGGTGACACACATGAACTCTGTATTTCTAACAGACGTGCAGTGCATCATGAATACAGTTCATACAGTACGTGAGCATTTAGAGAACACTCTAATCTTTACAGTGAGGGGATAAGGGGATAGTAGGGGTATAACAATTACACCAACATGGATTGATATAATGATTCAATGATTAACGATCCAATACTATCAATGCAAAATTAAAACACTTATTCACACTTTAATTTTAAAAATACACCCATATTTTCAAATTCCCAGGCAACATGTCCAAGTGCACCTCAGTGCTAGGTAAGAAAAGACAATAAGGATATTTACCAATATTATCTGTATCGTATAATGACGAAGCTTATGATTTACATCCCTCAGGGATAGAAATTGTTTTTCCGTTAGTTTACCATACTGTGGTTTGAAGATATACGTGCCACTTCGACATCATGACTGAAGTTATGACGAGTTAAGAGTCATTTTGTTCAGCCTAAGTTTTGGCACTAAGCGATGACCTGGAGACGGAAACAGCCATTGACGCTACGGCCTGAGCGAGTGACCTTGACAAATGATAAGGTTGTTTACATGTTGTCTCCTTCCCATCACAAGGGAACGTCTTGCCCGGTTACACATTTCAGTAGCTCCCCCAAGGAGCTGGTTATATCTCAGAGGAAAAAAGTGACACTCCCTTCATGTCTTAAGATTAGAGATGAACACTTAAGCTTTGATGACTGACATGCTTAAGCAGCGCAAAACATTTTTTCCCACAAATACCCTCTCTGGGAAGATGAGGCACCATCTTTCTGCCCCTGTGTGTTGATGCCACTTGGATCGGACGGTTGTCATTTGGGGTCGTGCAAATATGATGAATATGGGATTGATGGTGATGATGATGATGATGATACAATGATGTGCTTGGTTGTTTGTCACTGTTCGTCCACTTAAAAGACGCCATTGATGTACATGTAGCCTTCATTCAAAGGTAGCTTGCCTCATTGCAAAGTCCATAAATAATGGAGATGAATAGTTGCAGCTGCTACTGACTGAGGGTTTTTTGGATCCTTTTTTTTTAATCTCGCTATCAGAATTTTCATATGATATCCGTTGCATTTCTCCATCCACTGATGCCCTTGGTCTGATGCTGCTCTCTCCTCTCTATCCTGTCCCCTCCTCCCTTCACAGGTCTGAGTGGAGCCATGGCGAGTATCAGTGTGCGCTCCGGTGCTCCAGGGTCTCCCACACATGTGAGTGGGAGCAGCAGTAATGGAGGTGGTGCTGGTGTAGGTGGATCTTCTGGCTCGGGGCCGGTGTGCCGCAGCAGGCGCAACGGGCTCCAAGACGTCGACCTGAACACTTTCATCTCGGAAGAGATGGCACTGCATCTGGACTCTACAGGCTCTGCCTCTGCTGGAGGGGGAGGAACCAGGAAACGAAACTCCACCCAGTGCAGTGATGTCATCACAGACTCCCCTACACACAAACGCAACAGGATGATCTGATCTGCCGCCTGCCTATGTGTGTGTGAGGGGGTGAGGGAAAAGCCTTCAACGCCAAGGCGAGGAGAGGGGGGATGGATGGGCTTATGTGGGACAGATGGACAGATCCCTGGCTGTGCAAAAGAACGTGGGCTGAAAATGAAAACAGGGACTGAAGGTCTCAGTTCGGTCCATTTAGATGTTGAATGAATTCTCTTCCTTGTCTCCATTCCTCACAACATTACTACAAATCACTGATCTGCAATCAGAACGTTGATGGGTGTGTGTGTGTGACTGGGAGGTCTGGACGACACCACACACTCCTCAGACATTGCTGCCCCGGAAAGGAGACAACGAAGGAACTCATTCTGGGGTCGCAGACCATTCTCGAAGGGGTGAAAATGCACCTTGTGCTACTTGACAAGTAAAAGCCACTTGATCCTTGACACATTTGTGCCCTTCCCTCCCTTAACCTCACTCATCCTCACCCACCACCTTAATAAGGAAGTGAGGGCCATGATCAAATCGTCTCACTCAGCGAATCAAGTTGCTCGCCAAATGTCCGACCTGACTCTGTCAGAGACTCACCTCTGCGTCAAACAACCACCTGTTCTATCTGTTAATTTATCATCGCAGCTCTCAGTTGACATTGCCTGTCAGTGGCGGAGCTAAAATCACCCAGTAGGAGCACATCTGTGACGTCATCCTGCTTCACTTGCCGCTTGTAACCAGTTACACATCTCTGGCTACTAGGTTGATGGCATGTAACTTTATTCTTTGCTAATACTCTGCTTCAACAGTGGCTTGATTTAGTTCAGCCAGACACCCTTTTTGTTTTTAAGTTCAACCACCAGTGTTAAATTCTAGGTTTGTTGCCACTGTTTGCAGCAGTGATAGCCAAGTTAATTTTGCGTTCTTTCTCCACCTTGTTTTTTCTTTTTGTTGAGGATAAAGGAAAGGAATTTTTTTTTCTTTGTGTATACAGCTTGTCAGACAGCCCGTTTGCTGACTGCGACGCCCTCTCCCCCTTTTACCCTAGTCTTATTACGAAAGCAGCTGCTGTTTTATGTGATCTTGTGATTATTCTGATGAGTTGCAATAAGGATTTTTGCACTTAGCTTTCACCTCTAACTCATGCAAACAAATCGGCTCTTCCATTGTATCCCAGTTGTAGCCTCATCAAGCCCTCGACAGGCCTGCTTGTGGTCACTCCACGCATTATTTACCGGTTGGTGCTTAGAAAAAAGTTGGAAACAGGGCCGTCACGCACACCTCTGGTTCCAGCAACTCTTCAAAAGTGTTTGATAAAGTTGTGGAGCATTCCTGCGTGTGGGCTCAGCTCGTATTCAAAAACTCAAGAGTCATTTCCTGTCAGACAGATGATTTATTGGAAGATAATTGGTGCTGTAAAGAAAGCGTGAATCACAGAGATGTTTACAAAGGTAGCATTTCTCAACAGACCCGCCAAGCATGCCAGCCAGTGCACATGAAGAACTGGATTATTTGGTTGAGTGTGAGATTGGGGTGTTGGGACACTGTCTGCTTTTTGTATAAGGGGCGTGTGCATTAATAAGACGTGGATGGGTTTGATTTTACTTGGTACAGGATGATGCAACTCGGAGCTTGTTTCGTTCTTGAAATGGTCATTGCCTTCCATCCTTATGGAACGGAGAGGAGACACTGATATCACGAGTCAGAAATTTGGGTTTATTTAGCAGTTTGTAAAGTAATATAAACTGATGTTAGTGTCGTAATGAAAGATTATTGGAGTTAAATTGTAATAAACTCGTTGGTATATGCTTTGATTTAGCATAGGAAGCTAACAAAGTGTAAATTATAAAAAGAAAATCTTGAGTTGTCTAGTTATCAAATCAATTCTATATATTCTCAGTGATGCCCTGCCATAGTAAGTTGTCAGTGAGGCGTAAACACCTCAACTTAACCTGTTAATACCCGCTGTCGCTGACTTGTAAGATGTCAATGTTTCCTGCTCTGTTTTTCCTCCTTTCTGTTGACCTGTTCACTCCCCTTCACCTTTACGACCTGGAAAGTGGGTTTTCTTTAGTTGTATAAAGCATGCCAGTTTTTAACTTCTGTTACAGTTTGGTCACAGATTTCATTTTTGCGTTATAGGTTTGCTTTTATATTCATACATGATTGCTGGCTTGTCAGTGAGAAGAAAAGAACCAGGCTGAGATTTGTTTCTTCTGTCTAAAAAAAAAATAATAAAGTGTTCTGTGTTTTAGGAGTTTAAGTGAAACCACTGAATTAGACTGAAAACGTCAACGTCATATTGGAAAAGTGAGATTTGATTTGCGAGCAGAGAGCATCTGATTACTGTGAAGGAGGGTCAGAAAGTGATTCATGTCAGTCTTGGATTAAAATTGTCTAAAAAGCAAACAATGTCTTGTAAAGTTCTGGGTAGCTTCAGCTAGCACAGGTCTAGTGAATGACATAGGAAGGATCAATGTTTCTTGAAAAGGAACTTCGCCCTCAAAGTCATATTTAGGCCACATCCACACTAATATGTTTCATTTTAAAATGCTTAACTATTGCTATGTTTATGCTGGGTGTCCACACTAGTCCGCCATTTTGGATCCCTGAAAATGGGGTCCTTTTTGAAAATGTTGGTTGGCTGCGTTTTGGAGTCGCACCATGACTTTCCCACTGTATGTACACATTAGTCCATGATCAGCCCCCTTCGCTCTTTGGTCTGGAAGCAAAAGCCTTGAAGAAAATGCTAAGTTAGCATTTAGCTAACTATAAAGTATTAGGTTTAAGACGGGTGTTAAAGGTCAGCATAATGGTATAGGTTACATCTCTGTATTCATAAGATGAATCATGTCTTTGTGTGTAATGAATTATAAAGTGGATTATTGCAGCGTTGTAGCAAGGTTTAAATAACCATTACATTGGTGGGTTTGTCTAGGAGGTGGGTGCGGTTTGTAGGGGCGTGTCGTGAAGGCTTCAAATGGAATTTGAAATATTGAAATGAAAGCTATACATGTCTCTTGTAGTCTGGGCAGCCGGAAACAATGACACAGACATCTGCATTTGCTTCCTGATTCGATCTTCAGCTAAAATGTCAATTCAAAACATCATAGCTAGGTTTACATTTATTTATTCTACTTTTGTGGGTACTCCTTTCACGTCGCCATGGCTTCCTCTAGCAAGGGATAACGCTCCAGCTACCCTCTAATATGGCAGCATATTGGCTACACAGTGACTCCCAATCTGTTTTCTGTTGCCCTGACCGTCTTATACTCGTGTTACTTGCGGCAACAGTTCCACCACAGTGTCGGTCCAAGCAAAGAAATCTGTGGTATTCACCATATCCGTAGTATTTTCTGTATCTAAGCAGCCAACCTTAGAGTAAACCACCTGCTTCCTGTTTACACCGACACATGCATGCCCAGTGTACATTAATATTGATATGCATTTCAGGCATGTTAGCATGGACGGAAATCATTTCTGAAAGTGTGCTAAATACTTGAGTGTTCAGAGACTGTTCTCATGCGTTTTAAAATGAAAACGTATCCGTGTGGATGTGGCCTTAGTGTCCGCCAGACAGTTTTGAACTCTGCAGATTGCTCAGGGCAGACTATGGAGTGAATCCTGACAACTGAGCTGACAGCCTGTCCACACGCTCTTCATTAAATTGAGTTTTTCTTCCTCCAGACACTTTACTCACTGTTTCCTGTCTGACGCTCCGCATTGGCACTGGTAGCATTCATGACTGAAACCAAATGGCACGTGTTGTTACAAATTAGTAGTTGAAACCTCCCAGTGTTTTCTGTTGCATGACAACATGCCAGCTAAAGGGAAGATGTGAAACGTCTGCTGACGGGGAAATTAACTTAAAATTCAGACTGAAGAGTTGGCTACAAGTGGGATTGTGCCGTCTTTCTAATCCCACTGTTCAACCTGCGGCGTTGACCCCCCCCCCCCCATTGATTAGCCTGGTTATAATAGAGGGGGCACTTTGTGTTTTTCTTTTCTTCCCCTGAGCCAGTCACCGGCCTTCATCCACATTGTTTCAAAAAGGCTGATTCATGCCACGTGTCTCTGGAGCCAACACTATTATCAGCTGTTTCTTGATACTTATTTGTTTAAAAAGTAATAAATGGCTAATCTATATACTTAACATTTAATTGTTGGTATGATATATGTGGTTCACATTGTAAAAGAAATAAAACCATTGAGTTGCAATTGGATGGACTATGTTTCATTAAAATAAAGACAATGAAGAGTTTTGTTTTATCTTAAATCTGATTTGCTCACTAATTTAAGGGTTTTCTGTTAAACATGTACACACACATTTTTATATTTGTCAACTTGAAGCTCTGGGGTCTCATTTATAAACACTGTGTACGCACAAAACGAGGCCTGAAAGAGGCGTACACTGCTTCCCACGCAAAAGTTGTGATGAATAAAGACAGACTGGGTGGGAGAAACTTTGACCCGTGATGGGAAATCAGCGATGCAGATGGTGAAGGAGAAACCTGATTGTAGGAATATTTTTGGCTTTTGTTCATACACACATTTTTAGTGTGGCTCCTACACACTGTTTTATAAATGAGACCCCTGCTCTGTTTACTACAGGAGAGTGACAATCCTCCAAGAGGTCCTGATTGGCTATAAAAAAAAATTACATGCAGTGCAAGGAGGCTTAATTTTTGTCTTCATTTCTAACCATATTTGCAGAAACTGAAAACTCAAGAACTTCCACCACAGGTTACCCTTTTAGATCCGGTTGCAGTTTGCAAATTTATGGCATGCAAATTAGGAGCGGTGAGCATGTAACGACTAATTTGCCAGTTATAGTCCAGAGGCTGAAAGTAATCACATTTCACAAGCCATGTACGAGAGAGAAGGACTGAAGTGACTGATTTATTTATTTAATTTTGTAGTTAGAGGGGCCTTTAAAGTTATTAAAAAACACTGGATTTAACTGTACAGGTAATTGATTTAGTTGACATGCACAGGTGGGTAAAACACTTCAGCCATGCATTAAACATTGTGAGATTGTGACTAAAGCAGGTCTGGTACATTATTTCAGAGCTGAGGTTTCTCAGTTTCGGGTGGCTTCATGTCTGGACTTAAATTAATTCAAGTGACGTTTACCTTAGCACTCTTTAGGCCACTAGATGGCACCAGAGGACAGCATTAGAAAAAAAAACACTTTATCGCATGGAATTAGCTCTGCTCATGAATCTATGATGAGGACATGCACATAGACAAGCATGTGGAGTTTGTGTTAGCCCAGGGGTGTCAAACATAGGTTGTTCATCTGTTTTGTAAAAGGATGAACGTCTGCAGAATGTACTTGTAATTCTTTACACAAAACAGTGACAATATTGGAGCTGATGGTTTTATTGGTCCATCCCATCTGAGATCAAACTGGGCTGTATGTGGCCCAGAAACTAAAATGAGTTTGACACCCCTGTGTCAGCCAGTTCTGATGCAGTAGTGTTTTATTTTCAATGTCAACATTCTGATGAAAACTGCTGTCCTAAATTTGTCTACTCCTGCCCATCTCTGAGGCTTTCTACCATCTTAAAGGTTCCTTCCACAATTTCTGACCTCTGGCAGCACTGTGAAGCTGTTTTTTGTTTTTGATATGAGTGGGTTTCCAATTTGTTTCTCGCACAGGTGACTCAAACAGTCCAGCTAGTGGTTTCACACTATTCCACTCTACAACAGGTGGGAGTGATGTGCCTTCAAAGGCAGACAGTAAGAAAACTGCTGACTAATAAACATGGATAGTAATGATGCAGCATTTAAACCAGTGGCTTTTAAACTTTTTGTGCCCTAGGCTCACCAAAGGGCGAACCTAAATCTCAGGGCACACCTGTATTTATATCTGTGCACAATAGCAACTATAACGTGTTAACACTCTCATCACGACATAAATGTTTGTTCTTATTTACTGAAATCAAATAACAGTTGACATAATGATTCAAGAATTCATTTCAAACATTTTAAAATTACATTAAAGCAACAATAGCACCTCTGTTTAAATGGGAAGTGATGTGTTGCACACTTAAAATTCCCCCACATGAACAGGGACAAACAGGTTCCCTGTGGAGGTTTTTTAAATTAAAGTTAATTACATTTTGTAAGTAGAGTTTGCCGCTTTATTAGTAAAAGGCTGTGCACAACAGACTGATACAGTCGGTTAAAAATTAATTTATAACTTTTTGTATAGGCCTCGTTGAATATTGCAATAATAATGTGTGTTTATCACAAAATCCCACGGCACACCTGGATTTGGATCACGGCACACCATTCGAGAGCCATTGATTTAAACTTTGCAAATGTTTTAAGTGGAAGGAAATTAACTCAACAGGTTTGTCACACCTCAAGGATACACACGTAAAGTTTTGGTGAAAAAAAAAAGGTTAACTGTTGTTTCCAAGAAAACTTTACACGGCACCTTTAAACTGCAGCTGGTTATTATTATTATCTTTTTTTTTTTTAAATATCTTTTTGTCACATTTCCTAAAACTCACTGCATTCTCACAACACTAAATCAAACTCCTCTGTCTACTCTAGTACCTTGTAGCATTTCTGATGAAAGTGAAAGAAAGCAATGAATCATAAACAAGGGATCTCTGACGCAACTGTGAATCATGTCAATCACTGCTCATGAACTTTGGTCAAACTGTCAAACTAGAAAGTGCTGATCAAATATGAATCAAGATTCTGTTACTGCATTCCTATTTCTCACCTCCGATATTTTCCATAACATATTTTAGTGTACTGTTCAGGGGCTTAAATATAAACAGTGCAGTGCGGTTGCACTGGGGCCTGTGGGGTGGGGGGGCCCATAGAGAGAACGAGCCCTTGAAAGTGATTCAGATTGCTGGGTGATGTTGTCCAATGTCAAATCTGTATTTGTGTCAAGACAATACATGCGTGATAGCATGCACTAGGGCCCGTCATAACGTCCTCGCGCCACTAGTTTATCTGTAAAATGAGAAGATTTATGACCTGGCAGCCATGTTGGAAACAGTCGAGCCAAAACCAAGCATCGCCCACAAACTCTCTCATTTAACAGCTAAACAGTACAGTAAAATATATTTCTAAAAACATCCCAGGCGAGAAATACACAATGCAATGGCTTTTATTTGATCAGTGCTCCTTAGTTTGACAGTTGGATTGCAGTGTACAGTGACTGGCAGCTGCCTTACTTTGCTTGGATCGGTTGTTTTTGGTGCGCTGCTGACTCAAGGAAATTCCATTAGACACAGTAGGAAGAGGAGGACGGTCTGTCTCATGTACTTCTTTCAGAACATTGTCATAGTGACAGTTTCAACAAATATGACAACGTTATTTCAATCAAGTTCCCAACTGTAGCTTTAAAGGTGCTACTAGCTTAAAGTGGCCGTTTAATTTTCTTTGCACGCAGTTTTTCTCACCAAAACACACTGTGTGTATCCCTGAGGATTGCTGAACACATTTATTTCACCATGAACATCTGCAAAGTCAATTCTTTTACTGTTAATACTGCATTAATTACATCCATGTGTTCCAGTCCCCATACTACCACTACTACTACAACTATACAGTAGCTATGCCAGGAAAAGATTTACTATGTCCCAATACATAGTATGTCAGTTTGCAGTATGCCAAAAATACCGGGATGTTCTACTACATCCAGCTGATTGTGCAGTATGTAAGCCAGCATGCTTTTCTGGCTATTCTGACCCACAATCCTCTGCGCAGCGGACAATCCGTCACATCAGCTGAGCTGCAGCCAAATGACAGCACATTGTCAGCTGATTGACAGCTGTCAGAAGTCACAGTGACAGATGACATTGTCCTCAAGTAACTGATGACCAGTTGAATAGTAATAAGAGGAATACTGATTAAGTGAGCAAAATAATCATAAATATTACAAACAAAAGGACATGCAGATGCAATTTCACTGTCACATATATAAAATGTTAGAATCTATAATCTGTGCAGTTATAACTTTACAGTTTGACTACATACATCGCAAAGTAACAACAGCAGAGCTCTCCGGGTGGATCTGCATCTCTGGCGAACTTGGTAAGGCATATAATGGTAATGGATATAAACGCAAGAGGGTCAAAGTTCAGGGCGTATCATCATGAGAGAGTAGCATATTGGCATGCAGCAGGACGTACTTTTTAAGAGCAGCTGCAGCACCTACTAAAAGTAAAAAGTACGCGATTTGGAACACACCCCATGTTTACTTGCTAGCACTCTACTATTTCCCTGCCTTTGTTGGCATATTGAAATGCATCTTTGCACATTACTACCACCAACTGAGGATCAGCAGAATAGCATGAAAGCAGCAACAGAGATGAGCGCCTGCACATTACAATCAAACACTGCCCCACGAGGCATGTTACATAAAGTCCATGAGAAATGGCAGGTGTCTTTGTATCCGTTAAAATAACAGTTTAATCCAAGATGAATGCTCTGGAGCTGATATCATGGAGTCACAAACAAACTTAAGCAGTTACTGGATGAAAAAGTAGAGGGTTAAGACAGGACAGAGACAGAGCAGAGTCCACATGTGTCAGATTTTCAAGCATTTATATTTATTTAACTGCGTCACTATTTCAGACGTTGGCTCTGGCTGTTGGCTGCTCACAGAAGATGATAAAGGCAAAGCACAGGGGGCTTCCTGCACACATGTACACATAGTCAAATTAACAGCTGATCATTTGAACATAATGAAATAATAAAAATCAGTATTAAATAAGTTTCATGACAAATTACAAGCGCCAGTGACAAAAAAGCAAACAAGTCCTTCAACATTAGAAAAAAAAAATCAAATGACAGAGACAAAAGCAGAATATCTCTCCTGATGAGTGAACTCTGTTTCCCAAATGAAATGTGGTCATGAGTAACACACACATACAGCCAACATCCTCAAACACAACTGTTGTTGTTGCTATTGTTTTGGTCCATGGGGGTCGTATAATATATTACAAACTCCACCCTTCACCTCCTTCCTGTCAGAGCTCCTCCACCTCCTCATCTTCACCCACAGCTGCGAATTGAGCCACAGAAGTTCTCGAGTTTCTCCACAGACCAGGATTAAATATTGGACTACATGAACATACAAATCAAACCAAACTAAAACTGAGTGCCTGTAGGGTTTTGATCTGTGCCCCTTGAGGACGTCTCAGACCAGCTGGGATGGTAAACATGAGCATGCTGTGTACAGTTTAATAAAGACTTTCACTGCAATTTGGAGCTGCAAACACTAAACTACCTTCTGCAGCTTTA